AAAAGTTCTCCTGGATCTTGCTTGTTAGGCTGGCGTGGCTAAGACACTGATAAAGGTAAGTTCTGCAAAGATTTAATAAGGTTTTGCTCCTTACTGGGCTTACAGTTAGATCATGGGTGATCAGGAGCTCACAGTTTTGCACAAGATTTGATCAATCTTGCTTGAGCTAGGATCCTTGATCTGCCATGGGTGGTGATCAATGCATTCACAAAAGGTGCCGGAATGAAATCCAACAGCTTAAGCACTTTCAAAAGACACCCATTCAGTGATCATTGCATTCCAAGAGACCAAGGTCCTCTTGCTCAAAACTTCCTGCTGTGCTCATGATCACATTTCCAAGATTGAGCTCCATGTTTCTAGAATTCTTCTGTGAATCGTCACTTCTTTCTCATACTGCACAGGTCACAAATCACCCAAGAAATCGCCTCATGGAGGCTGCAACACTCAATAGTTCTAGGACTGGCAGACAAGCCCTGTCCCATGGACAGCCACTGCTTCTTACGTGGGAATGTGCACATTACAGAGGTTCGTTTCTGTTTTCCAGTCTGTCTTTTAACTCCTCAAATGTCTTGATCATTATGGAGGGAACCCACTGAGAAAATACAGTGTTGGGCACGAGCTAAAATCCTTTCAAAACGCAAAACCAGCAGAAAACACAGAAATGCTACCACTTTGGATTTATCTCTACGTCCATCTGAGCTTGCAGGTCTGTATGGTGGCCCTTTGAATTAGCTTACTTATCATGACTTGCAGGAAACGATGCTGCATGCTCAGTGATTACTTTCGAGACCGTAACCATTGAACAGTCGGTTATCAGATACGTTCAAGAAGTAAAGGACAACTGGGCATGGCTAGTCCTCTCACCCCATCTTAAAGGCTGCCTTTTTATACTGGACACGTCTGACGATCCCTCGGAGCTTGAACGTTTTAAAGAGCGCTTCAAAGTCGGTGACCCGTTCCAGTGCCATATAAGAAGTGTTAACCACGAAAGGAAGCAAGTGGATTTGTCTCTACAAAAACAAGTGACGAACAATTCAAGAAAGGCGACCTGTTAGGCCGACGGATCACACGAGTTTTTGCTGGTGTTGGCGGACATACTGTGCAAGGCAGATGGGAAAGTTTCGGAAAATTTCAACGATACATGGATTGATGACCCAGCCAGTTTATTTACAGAGGGACAGTTCGTAAGGTCTTGGATTTAAAACGACCAGGGAGGGGAAAGATGGGCTTGGAATTTTCAGTAAGTTGGTGGACGTGGTGGTTTTGAGTCCCTTCCGAGCTATCAAACACTTGAAAGGTAACTTCCGAGATTTGCATTAAACTCTGCATCCAATGCTCGTATTGTCAATTCCGTGTTGGAACTTAAGCAAGATATGAAGTGCAAGTAAGCAGAAACCTTGCATGCTGTGGACGTGACTTGTTTTTGTGTTGCAGGGTTTTGTCAAGAATGTGACGGAGAAAGGTTGTTTTGTGGTCCTGGCACCTTCACTTGAAGCTAGAATTCAACTGAAGAACCTATCGAACTCGTTTGTACAAAACCCTGCAGAAATGTTTCCACCAGGCAAGGTGATATTGGGAAGGTATGAACTTTTCTCCGTGTGGAAGTGTTTGCTGATATCTTCTTCTTCGTCAGAATTTTAAGCATCGAGCCATTGTCTGGGCACATTGAAATGTCTTTGACGGCAACAACATCACAAGATTCAAGTGGCTGGAAGAAGTTTGGTGCTGGAGAGATCGTTAGTGGCCGCATACACAACATTGAAGCATTTGGGATCTTCATCAGCCTTGCCGAGAGTGATGTGGTAAGCTCTCTCTCTATCTTGGTTTCAAGTTCTTAGTCTGTGCTCCAGGTTGCTTGTGTCATGTCTCTGGAGTGTCTTACGATTTTATTCAAGACTTGTCAACACTTTACAAAGTCGGCCAATGCGTTCAAGTAAAGATTCTAAAGGTGAGAACGAAAGACCACAGGGTTATGATTTCCCTCTACAGGTTGATGCGGAAACCAAACGTATATCTCTTGGAATGAAAGCGTCATATCTGACCCCTGAGGACATCGAGCTGATGGAGGAAGAAGCTATAAATGAAGAGCCTTCGAACACAAATGTGCTCATGGATAATGATGAGAGGGAGGAGGAGGACTACTTGGATCTGGCATCAAAACGATTCCCACAGCTATGCATGTCGATCCACTCTCAACAAAGACGTTGAGGATACAGTGCCAATTGACTTGAAAGAGCAGAGTTACTTCTTGTTTATATTTACTCTTCTCATGTCCTGCTTCTCAACAGGGAGGCTGCATATTTGCTATCAATGGGAGCCCATATTTGCTATCTTCTTGCATTTTGAGCCTTTCTCCCCTTCTGCCAGACTTTGTCTTATAGGTGCCGACCATTGTAAGTATCCATGCATGTATGCTAGTCCAGAAGCTATCCAGGTAAGCTGTGTTCGTCCTCAATAACAATTGTTAACCTTTTCTTCATCAGCGAATGGAAGTGTACGAATTTGCAAGAGTGACCGGCAATTCTCAGTTTATTTTACTTCCTTTTCAGCCATAGAAGCTTATTTATGCAACAATGACAAGTATAAGTCTTACAAGCATTCGAGGAGTCCTTTTGTTGAGAATCATCGTGATGATCGTTGTGGACACAAGGATGGGAATAAACATCACAAGCTGAAGTCTATGGTGGCTACTTTGGGTACATAGGTGTCAAAGAAGCAAAAATTCTTTGTGAAGAATTATAAACAAGGTTGTTATCATTGTGGCAAACTGGGACACTACAAAGCTAATTGTCCATAGTGAAGAGCAAATAACATGGCAACAATAATGGCTAATCTTCTACTAAAAGTAAGTCAGATACTAAAAAGTTGCAAACTTTGCAATGTAAGGATGATGGGGATGACTATTTCGGTTGGAGGAAGAGGCTTTCGATTGTTGCTCATCAACTTAACTATGTGTGGAACAAGATGAAGGTCAAAGACACTTGTGCATCAACTTTAATACTGAAGGGCATGTTCCGTGGTGGTACTGTGTAAATTTTACTGGACAGTGGGAGCAATGACAACTTTGTTTCCACAAAGTTTGTTGAGGAGCATGGCCTACTGACACAAGGAGTTCTTCCATACACGGTAGAAGGTGCAACTACCTCTACTCAACATTTTAATACTTGTGTAGAAAGGCTAGAAGTGTTGGTTGGCAAAACCACACTTCTAGTGACTTTTTATCTCACAGATTTTCATCGTGTGGATTTTATTCTTCGGATGCCGTGGTTAGTGAAGGTGGATCCAGAGATAAAGTGGAGTATTAAGCATGTCTTGTTGGAATACAGTGGCGTTAAAGATGTGTGGTTTAGAGAAGGAGTTTAACCTCTAGTTGTTATGCTCTCCGCTACATCTTTGAAATGGACTTGTTGTAATGAAAAAACACTTTCGAGTTACTTGCTGTTTATTCATGACTTGGGGGACCAAGCCATGTGTGGAGGAGAGGTAGTAGTGCAAACTATACTCGAAGAGTTCTCTGATGTTTTTTCCTCTAAACTTCCTCATGGATTGCCTTCATTACAAAGTGTGGAGCATGGGATTACGTTGGAGCCGAGGATACGGCCAATTTACCAGTGTCCATTTCAGTTGAGTTATGCTAAGGAGAAAGAAGTTTAATAACAAGTCAAGGAGTTACTTAAGTTTGGATTTATTCAATTAAGTAAGTCTTCATTTAATGCTTTAGTTTTGCTTGTGAAGAAGAAGGACGGTTCAATGAGGATGTATATTGACTACCGTGCCTTGAACAAGAAGACCGTGAAAGACAAGATGTTAATGCCGCATGTGGATAATATTATAGACAAGCTTGGTGAAGCATGAGTGTTTACTAAGATTAATCTGAGGAGAGGATATTATCAGATTGCCATGGATGATGCATCTATCTCCAAGATGGCATTTAATACGAGTTTTGGGTATTTTGAGTTTATGGTTATGCCATTTGGTTTGATGAATGTACCAGCCATATTTACTCGATTGATGACAAAAGTCTTTAGGTGTTATCTTCATGAGTTTGTGGAGATTTTTTTGGATGATATTCTTGTTTTCAGCAAGAATATGGAGGAGTATAAAGTGCATTGTGCAAGGTTCTTTTGTTACTTCATGACATTAAATTTTATGTGAAGAAGAGAAAATGTGAGTTTGCAAAGTTAGGTGGAATATCTAGGCTATATTATGACATCCAAGGGTGTCAAGATGGATCAAAGGAAGGTGGCTATGGTGGAAAACTAGCCTACACCGACTTCAATGGCTGAGTTACACAATTTCCTTGGTATGGCTAGTTACTGTTGACATTTTTAGCATAAGTTTGCAAAGGTGGCTATTCCTTTGACACAATTGTTGCACAAGAACGTGCTATTTGAATGGAAAAAGCCATATAAGGATAGTTTTGTGGCATTGAAATAGTTGTTGAGCGAGGCTCTAGTGCTTCGCATTGCTGATCCCAAAACCTTATGAGGTGACATGTGATGCGAGTGGTTATGCACTGGGAAGAGTTCTCATGCAAAAGGGACAACTTATTGCATATGAGAGTCAAATTTTGAATCCCACAGAGCAACACTATTCCACATATGAGCAAGAGTTACTCTCCATTGTTCATGCTTTGTGGACGTGGCAGCATTATTTTTATGTTGTAGTGTTCACGGATCACAAACCCCTTGTATATCTTTTCACACAAAAAGAGTTGAACACTAGGCAAGTTTGCTAGATGGTCAAACTCATGAAGTTTGGGGAATTTCCTATTGAGCATCGTCTGGGAAAATTGAATGTGGTGGCAAATGCTTTATCTTATATTTGCCATGTGATGGCGTTACAAAACACGGTTTTATCATCATTTAAGTAAGGTGGTTAGCGAGTTTGGGCAGTTGGTTGAGCGTGCTCAAGCTCAAGATGTTGAGGTGGTCTCATTGTAAGCCCAAATGGAAGCACCTTTCTCATTAGTGGATGGGATTCTTTACTACAATGGCTATGTGTATTTGCTATGGGTGGATGTGTTAATTACTTAGGTTTTATTTCACTATCATGATCATCCAGAGGCCAATCATTTTGGGGGGAAGAAGACATATGAGTTGATTAAGCATAAAATCTATTGAAGGAATATATAAGCTAATATCCTCAAGTATTATAAGTCATGTGAGCTCTATTAGTGGGTAAAGGTGCCACGGGGACTTTTGCAACCTTTATCTATTCCTCAAAGCCATTGGTGTAGTATCTATATGGACTTCATCACTTGTTTGCCACGAACACAAAAGCAAAAGAAACAAGTATGGGTCATAGTGGATCATTTGACGAAGTATGTGCAATTGTTGGCTCTTTGGAAGAGTATTATTGCCTTAGACTTGGCTACGGTCTACTTGGAGAAGGTTTTTCCTGATTTTGGTTTGCCAAAGGACATCATTAGCAATCGAGATTCAAAGTTCACTAGTGGATTTTGGAAGAGTTTTGTAAAGGCTATACAAGTGATTCTGAAACTCTTGAGTGGAGATCATCTTTAGATGGATGAACAAATTGAGCATGTGAATCAGGTGGTGGAGGATAAACATTGTTTAAAGCTAGAGATAATGTGATTTATATCTTTCGTTAGTACAATTTGCTTATAACAATAGCCAACATAGTAGAACCAAGCTAAATCTTTACTTTGCCATATTTGAAAGGCATTCTTAAATAGTGGTGGAGTTGGAATTGCATTTGAGTAAGGATGTTCAAGAAAAGTTTGATTCAAAGGTGACTGATCTAGCCACGGAACTTGATGAGATTTTGGTGGTGTACAAACGGAATTTGCAAGCAGCTTAAGATAGAGCGGAGAAGTTTGCTAATGAGCATCATCAATTCCGGGAATATAAGGTGGGTGATTTTGTTTTTATGCAAGTGATTTTTTTGACAAGTGAGCAACAGAACACTTTAATGCCTTTGTGAAATGGGAAGAGTGATAAACTTTCTCATTGGTATATTAGTCCATATGAAGTGTTGGAGTGCATCAGTAAAGCAGCTTATTGAGTGCGGCTACTAGCTATGTTAGCCAGTTGAAAAGTGTACTCAGAGTGATGGGCCTAATGCTTCCTTGATGTATACTGTTGTGAAAGATGGATCAAAAGCTCGAGCAAAGTTCCTTAGAAAGGATGATCACCAATACAACTCATCTTTGGAACAAGGACTTTGTTAGGGGAAGAATCACCAATACAACTCATCCTTGGAACAAGGACTTTGTTAGGGGAAGAATTGTTAAGCACCAGCTTTGAGATAGTTAATGTCGGTCAAAGGGAGGCTCAAGGGTTTATGAAGGCATGTTAATGTAAAGAACTTAACCTACCCTAGAGCTTATAGTGGAGGTAGCTTGGGGTTAATTGGGTAGTGAAAAACCTCAAGAGGAAGTGTAATCTAGTCTAGGAAGACTAGATCATTGACTTTTTGTTCCGTGTCATAACACAATTGTTGTTCATGATGTGAGGAATGTCATGGATGGGGACATTATGGAACTTCTGCCAAATGTCAATAATATGCTAAAATATATTCTTATGCTCTTTTGACATTTATGGATAATAGGAATTCTATTTCTTGTGCTTCTTCTCTATCACCAACAAATAACAAAAGTCCTCCTATTCTCTCTCCTCCACTCTCTTTCATAACATGCAATATAGAATTAATGGAGGATGAGTAGTTTATGTTTGTTTTTGCTGGAGTCAGTAAATAGTATAAATGTGATGATCTTGGTGGACTTTGGCTTAGCAATTTCCTCTATTCAGTGTTTAATTGTTTAAAGTTTCATTATAGCAAGTCTCTTGTACTTGACCTTTATAACTTGTGGTACTAATCACAAGTCATCAGTATAGATATTATGTATGGAAACGCTGGTTGTCTACGCGCAGTGTGGCATTTGGAGGAATCGAGAAGGGTCTTTGATGCATTGCCGGCCAAGAACATCGCGTCGTGGACGGCGCTCGTGAGCGTGTATGCCGAGAGTGGGCATCCGGGTGAGGCCAAGACAGTGTTCGATCGAATGGCGGTGTGGGACGTAGCTTCCTCCACTGTGGGTCAAGGCGCTGGGCGATTGCGGGCGGATTGGATCGAGCAAGGCGGTGTTTGATGCGATGCCCAAGAGGAACTGCAAGACATGGGCGACATTGCTGCGGGGATTTGCTCGCGGCGGAGAGATTGGGCGAGCGGGAGAGGTGCTGGATCGGATGCCCGAGACGAATGTAGTAGCGTGGACGATCCTCGTGCAGGGTTTTTGCGCAGTGCAGGCGAGTGGGCGATGCGAAGGCCGCGTTTGATTCCATGCCCGAGAAGAACAGCATCACTCGCGCGGTGATGCTCGTCATGTTTGCGGAGAATGGATTCGTGGAGGAGGCGGAGGATGTCTTCCAGGAGATTGTCCACCGAAACGCGATCCTCTGGGGGGCGATGCACTGCTGCTATGCCCAAAATGGGGATTTGATTCAAGCCAAGAGTTTGTTTGATAGGATGCCTCTGCACAGCATGCTTTCGTGGACGATTATGATCAAGTCATACGCGCAAAAAGGTGACGCTAATCAAGGAAAACAATTGTTTGAAGCAATGCCACACAGAGATCTTGTTTCATGGAACTCGATAATCGCTGTTTATGCCCAGAGAGGTCGTTTCAAAGACGCTATACGAGCGTTTTCTTTGTGTTGCTGCTGGGATTCCTATTCATGGAACACAGTTCTCGTGGTATACGCTTTAGATGCAAATATTTTTGAGGCAAAGAAGACGTTTGATAGAATACCAACTTGGAATTTGGTCTCCTGGAACACGATGCTAGCAGCATATGCCCAGACCGGCCATGCGTATTCTGCGATCCAGCTCTTTTGGGCGATGTTTCTTCACGGCTTTGACCCCGACAATGCAGCGTTTGCCATCGTTTTGACGGCATGTAGCCATCTGGGGCTTGTCAAGGAAGCAGTAAGCTACTTCATGGCAATGAGCTTTGACAATGGATTGGACCCTTTGCAAGACCACTACACCTGCATTGTTGATGCTCTAGGACGGCTAGGGCGATTGGAAGAGGCCGGGATGTCCTGGAGAATATGCCTTTGCCAGCTGATGGAGTTGCATGGGCAACGTTTCTTACCGCGTGTAAAAACCACGGGGAGATGAATCGAGGGATGCATGCTGCGGAATTTACGTGCCAGTCCAGCCTTGTGAGTGATGCATTGCCTTATGTGATGCTGGAGAACATCTTCAGATTTGATGTGTTGACCCAAACATCGATTGTTGATATCCAGCCATTCCGTGAGCCGCCCCATCCCCCATGGATGGAGAGCGGACGCACAGAGGATTGAGCATAGGAGAGTCTTCATGAGGAGCATAGTCCTCCGCCTCTCGTGTATGAGTCCGTGGTGTCTTATGCATCTGGAATGTTAAGTGCAGTGGGTTTGCTATAGTCAGCAATGCAAGATCCAATGCTGCTGTTGTGAATTTCAGCAGCAGCACTGCGCTCCTCCTGCTCCACATCAGTGCCATGCTAGGCGTGGCAATCCAGATTCTCAAGACCATGCCGGTGAGAGTGAGCCGTGCAAGTCTCTCATGAGCTCTTGTTGAAAGTGGGAAGTAGTGGTGTGGAAAGCTTGCGTTTGAGGCGCGGGTGGAGATGGGCTCATTGCAGTAAGGTGATAGCTCGTTCCGATTGCCTTCCTTTTGTATCCTATCTCCCTCGTTGCCTCCCGACATGCTTCATATGTTCTCCTCTCTGTGTTCCATATGTTATCTCCTCTCCGCTTGCGAAGCATTGCACAGCATGTTGCTGGAGCTGGGCCTCAGCCCATTCGTTGATGGCTAGCATTTACGAAGGCTTCATTGGATGTTGATACAGAGAATTAAGTTTAAAGACAATTGGCCCACTTTTATGATGGGCTTAATCTATGTTGACTGGATTGTTCTTTGTAAAGCATGTATGCAAGGCGATTTTACAAGGAAATTTATCAAATCTTCTGCAAAGTCAATGCCATAATCTGTCAAGAACCAAATCCTTGGAGAGCTTTAGGAATTAATATATGCATAATGAAGGATAGTTAAGTAATTTGATGATGAGAAGTTTGACATATGTTATCAAACATATTATCTAGCATAGCAATCAGGGATGCTCAACATCCCAAACAATTCTTCCAATTGGAAATAAGAAATATCACAAGTGCCATTTCCTACTCATCCATTCCCTTCGAAAACTTTCTTTCTAATCTGCAGGGTGGAGTTTTATATATAATGTTGTTGTATAGGGCAATATTGCTTCTTCAATGGCAACTAGCACTTGTTCAATGTTTCGTGACCAATCTATTCCCTTCTCTTCCAATATCATGGAATATAAGTATATGAAAATTTTCAAAACTAACATATTGGAGTACAATCTTAATTATTCTTAAACTCTGAGGAATACAAGTCTCAACTAGAGATATACTTCAGTTCCCTTTAATCTTTCAGTCTAGCATCATTTCAAATCCAGGATTGGTATTCAGATTAGAATATTGCTAGCCTTTTGAGACAAGTATAATAGTTGTTTTGAATCGTTAGTGATTTTAATCTACATTGAGTTATAATTTAAATAGATTGCTACTTTGTCCTCTATGACATGCTAGATGGAGAAAAATTGTTATATAAGCTCATATTTTTAATGCATCAAGTATTCTTTACAAATCAAATATTTTTTTTAATAGCTTTTTTTCTGCAGGCTATTTGCAAAAGAACACAAGGTGTATGACCTGTTTAGTATTTGCACACATATCAATTTTATTATATTTATATTCTTTATTTTTCCACAATACCTATCTTTTATGGCTTCAGTTAAGTTATAGTCATTTACACCTTTGCGTATTTCTTCAATTTAGGCACTATATATTTGATTTGCTTAAGCAAACCAACATAGGATATACCTGGGTATTCTTGAATATTCTAAAATTTAATTGTTGATATTTATTTAGAATAATTTTGTGTTTATAAATTAAAAACATTTTAATAATGGTCATCACATATAGTTGACCAATGGTTTCAGCAAAAAGCTGTTCTAATTTAGTTTCAAAACTTTTAAATCTGAGAACTATTAATTCAATGTTTGGACATGTAAGTTGCATAGATCCTCGCCTTTATCATTTATCAAGTGGCCACCGGTCCTTTATAAGCCTTTGTTGTTCTCCACTAACACTTAACATTATCTGCTAAGTATAGTTTAACACATGGGACCTTCTCCAAGCTTAATAATAGCAACACTCAAAAGTAATCGTCTATATGCTAAAATTAATCCTTCACCACCTTATAATCACTCATGTTTGCAAGTGTGATTTTGTGGCAAGGAAGCAAGAGCAACAAAAGGTCATCCAGACAAGTTAACTTCTCAAGTTTAACCAGCTGCCACCTCCATGCAAGGGTACTTTCCACGAGCTCAAATGGTAGAGAGCTAACTCTTGATTGTTTTTGGTTGTTCTCTAGGCTCCAATCTTTTAGGAGTGATGAAAAGAGACTGTTATTGATCAGGCTAGGGATTTCCAACCCAAAGCTATGTTTCCCATACCTGAAAAGTGTATCCATGAAATATACATATCCTCTTGTAGTTTCTCTTCTAAATAGAAGACAAGTGCTTGAGGTTGTACATATCGAAGTACAAACCAAAGAAGCAGATCAATGGATCTCCCCACGACACGTCAATCAGCAGTCGAATGAGCGAGCAGCACATACTTGATCCTCTTTCAGTCGATCCACTTTCCTGTAACCAATGGTGCTACCGTTGCTCACCAGGTACCAGCCCAGCTCGCTGTCGCATGCCTCGACGAGATATTCCATGACCCTTTGTCCCATGTTTACTGGCTCTCGGATCTCCAGTGTGTTGAACTTTGAGACCTTGCCAAGATCAAGCTCGATCCAGCCGGTCGACTCCCCTTGCATTGGAGCCCAGAAAGTTTCCATACACTCGTCAAGGATTTGCTTCGGCCCGAATGAAGAGCTGCGAACGCTGCTTGCTGTCACGGACAAGGCATTCGCTGCTAATTGACGCTGAAGATGGAATCTATGGCGGAGCTAAACCGCTCCAGCGTCTGGAAGTCGGATTCGTCAATCAGTCCCGACGAGTTTGGAGGGACGTTGAGCAGGAGCAAGCAGTTCCTGGCGGATGATTTGTAGAAAACGTCGAGCAGCTGCTCCAGGGATTTTGGAGCCTCGTTCCTGTGCCAAAACCAACCGGGCCTGATGGAGATATCGCACTCCAGAGGGAGCCAGTCGGTTCCAGCACTCTCTCCAGACATCAAGTACCTGTCGATGTTGCGAATTGGATCGAGTTTCATGAGAACGAAAGTCTCATGGAAGGATGGATTTTACGTACTGGCCATCGCTCCTGCCGATCGTAATGGAAGATCTGTTCGCCATCGCCCAGCATGGTTGTCCGGCCTCGCCATACTCGTTCCCAACCCATTGGATGTCGGGGCCAGCGTCGGAAAAGATGTTGGCACCGCGGATGAATCGTGTCAAACCAGAGCTCAAAATCGTAGCTCATGTTCACTGCAGTGGGTGATTTCGCACCATCCAGCCACACCTCGGAGATCGGCCCATATCTGCACGCCGAAACAAAATGCCGCGTCAAGGCATCTGCTGCTAGAGATGAAAACTACAAAAGCCCACAGGCTCGCGAGCTCCTAATGCTAAAACCGTTCGATGGGCTGGAGCAAATGCAAACATATCACACAGTGACCATGCCACCAAGAAAAATGCGTGAAGAAGAAGCAAAGAATGTCTCACTCACCCAGTAAGAAGCTCTCGGAGCTGAGCCAAGTAGAACTCGTTGTAGAGAAGAGTGTCGCCATAGCAGCTCTCGTGCAAATCCCATGGCGAGAGGTAAAAGCCACATCCACGTCCAATCCACGCTACCACATCCCCCTTCCCTCCTCACGCTAGCCACGGAGAAATTGGTGTAGGCCGAGGGCCACAGGCAGAACCCGTCGTGGTGATTGACCGTGAGGATCACGAGCTGCGCGCCCGCGGATTGAGCCGCGTCCATCCACTGCGACGCATTAGATCGCTCCGGGTTGAAGATGGAGGGCGATTCGTGGCCGGATCCACGCTCCGAGTCCGTGAATGTGTTGACGCCGAAGTGGAAGAGCGGCGCGAGTTGAACTGGAGCTGGCGCCATGAGGGAATTGGGCGGAGAGGGAGCGGTGGGGGCGAATTTAGGGCGACAGCTCTCAAGAACACTAGTATCTCGAGGAGCAAGAAAGAGAGATGGAAATTCATTGCTATAGAGAATGGAGGAGAGAGCCAATCTTATAAGCCCAGTGGAGTAGAGGAATTCTCACCAGAGAGTAAAATCTTTGCTTCTTCCAGGGTGTCCTTGTTCTTGCAAGGCAAGATGGATTATCTTCTTCTTCTTAGCCGTGATCTCCAAGCTAGATTGGAATGTTCTTTCTCCGTCCAGGATTCTCGGATTCTTGCAAGGAATACCTCGCGAATCGCGAATGGCAAAGTTTATGGCATTGCTCTTCCCCAATTTCGTGATTTCCACAGACACCTCAGAGGATTGCTTGCTCTCCTGGGGAGCACTGCTCAAGAACTGCCGGGATCTGTCACAGGGGAGGCAAATCCACGCCCGCATTGCGCAGAGCGAGCACCACCGCAACAAATACCTCGCAAATCTGCAAATGCGGCAGCGTCGATGACGCCCATGCAATCTTCGAATCCATAGAGAATCCTAAGCTCTTCTCCTCCAACATCATGATCCAGGCCTACGCACAGGCGAAATATCGAGCGCGCAGAACGTTCGATGGGATGCTTTTATCAAGCTACTCTCTTGCTTAAGGAGTGCATGTTGACTTGCAGGACGCAGTAGAAGGAATGCTCGAAGAATGGCAGGAAAACCTGGCTATAATGGCAGCTAACCGAACTAATGCGGATGAGAGAGTGATTATGCATCTTGGTGATTGTCTCTGGAGACATCGAGATGAGGTATATACATGGTCACACTTTGATGTTTCTCATAGTTTTAACTTGCAGATATGTGGAGCCCATATTTGCTATCTTGTTGCAAATGCTAGTTTTGAGCCTTTCTCCCCTTCTACCAGACTTTGTCTTATAGGTGCCGACCATTGTAAGTATCCACGCACGTACACTAGTCCAGAAGCTAT